ACACCACAAAAACCCTAAAACAAACCAGACATATTATAATGCACAACACAAAAACCTTAAACCAAACCAGACGTATTATAATGCACACCACAAAAACACTAAAACAAACCAGAACTAGCAGAAAATGTAACTCACCGCCAGCCCTGAATAGAACACCCATCTTTTCAGTTGCCCTCTTCTCACTTGCTCCCGATTCAGATAGGCAGCATAGCAGTCAATAACATCCACACTCACACATTGACCATGTGCCAAAGTCTCTTTATCCTTTCTATACAAGCAATCGTATCCATCAACACGACTGAAAAGGAGTTTCTTCCTATTTTTCATAATTCCATAACAAACAAAACAGTCGGCATTAGAAAAGTACTAATAAGCACTATATATAAAAATTTATACAAACAACCGCATATGTATGAAATCTATACACATTAACTTACAAGTTATTCGAATCCCTTGCATATCGCAACACAGCACCCTTCAACACATTATCATCAACACCTGATGAGCTTCCTGCATTCTTCACTTTCAAATTAGCTAAAACAGTACAAAAAACAACTAACACAAACCACAAATGCGATAAACCACACTACAAAAACAAACCAAAACTGAAACATTGTACAACAAATTACCTTTCCCTTTCTAATACTCTCAACTAGCTGACTCAATGGTAAATCTGCACTATCATCACCACCCTCAAGCACCTCACGGGCATCAGCTTCTTTCCTTTTTTTCATCAACCACCACATCTTCACGAACATCCCCCATAGCAGACTACAGAAACCACACCATAAAAGTTTTTAACAAAACCAGATATATGTAAACCACACTACTAACAAATGCAAAACAACCTACTACAAAAGACATGATAAACAAACCAAAAATAGTATAATCCACACCACAAATATTCAAACACAAAACAGTAAAAATACCTTTACGACCTTCTCAACCAAGTTATCCAACTTAGCAGCGTCAACAACATCAATATTGTCATCTCCATCATCACCTTGTCCCTTTTCCTCACAGTTGTCCATCTCCACCTTCTTAGCATTCTCAGAATCAACACTTTTTTGTGTCATCTCCATTGTCAGATTATCAAGATGATCATCAAGCCCCTTCGGATCTGATACTCCCTTAGCAGAGGTATCATCATTAGCAGTGCCAGCAGGATCATTGTGACCAACATCTGGCGACACACCATCAGCAGTACAAGCACCATCCTTATCCATCTCCATTGACAAATCATCAAGACCCGTGGACTTTGGATCTAATACTCTGTTAGCACCAGTCTCATCATCAGCATTGGCAGCATCTGCATTGCGACCAACATCATTGGTTCCCTTACCAACAGCAACATCCTCAACACTATCAGTGAAATCGACATTATCTTCAGGACTATCCTCTGGTTGCTGCCCCTCCAGCATCTTTATATGCTCATCAACTTGTTCAATGCTCGAACTGTAATGAGTAGCCATCCTCAACAAAGCCCTCTTATAACTTTCCATGTCACTCTTCAACTGATATGCCTACAAAAACACGAAAACAGCCCAAAAGCAAACCATAAACCTTCTAAAGAATCTCAAATTCCTTTTAATGAACACCTAAGACACACGTATACAAACCACATATGTTTGAATTCTCACAAAAAAACACCTACCAAACGATGAGTACCATAAAGTATTCCTTTAACGAAGTAATGCAAACCACTATTCTTTTAACAGAAAGCACAAGTACACTAAAGCAACCCAAAGAACAAACAACAGAAAACACAAGTAACCAACACATGAATTAAATAAAGTATTCCGTAAACAAACTAATGCAAACCACTATCCTTTTAAAGCACACTGAAAGTATGCTAAAGAAAGCCATAAAACGAATAACACAGCAAAAATACTCACATCTTCAACTGAATGAATACCATCCAAGTTGATGTCAAGATAGGGAAGCTTCGGAAGATCCCCTTCCCTCTCCATATCAAGATCATCTACCGGCATTTTCCTCTTTGTACCCTTCACACGTCCTCGTCCCATTGGTTGACTGGAGGTTGCTTGTTCTTCCGCCACTACATCTCGATGACCAATAGAGAGATGACCTTCGTCCACCAGTACTTGAAAAGCAGCACTTGCGACTTTGTACGACCTGTGCCTACAGGTCGGTATGGGCAGCTCAGGGGGGTTCTTCAAACGGTCAAGAATCGAAATCTGCCACATATACAAACAACAGAAGTCAAGCAACCACAAACAAACTGTGCCAGAAAGATTATAATACACACCACATAAATGATAACCTATACCAGGAAAATTATAACAAGGGGGAAAATCAAACCATAAATATTTTTAAGCAAACCATAAACATCTTCAAGAACACCACATTCGTCAATAAACAAACCATAAATGATAAACTATACCAGAAACATTATAACAAAAGGGGGGGGGGGGGGAAAGCAAACCATAAATACTCTTAAACAAACCATAAACATCTTCAACCACACCACATTCGTCAATAAACAAACCATAAATGACAAACTGCAGAAACATTATAACAGGGAGGGGGGGGGGAACCAAACCATAAATAGCTTTAAACAAATCATAAACATCTTCAATCACACCACATTCGTCAATAAACAAACCATAAATAATAAACTATACCAGAAACATTATAACAAAGGGGGAAAAAGCAAACCATAAATATTCGTAAACAAACCATAAACATCTTCAACCACACCACATTCGTCAATAAACAAACCATAAATGAAACAGTAAATCAAACTCCGAAAATATGTATATTTATTTACTTACAAAAAGAAGATGAACGTCACCAGGGAACTTTGATTTTGATTGAACCACTTCAACCATACTTTCATTGAAATGGTCAGCCACGTGCTTACACCAATTATATTAGTTGAAGTCAGCGACCATTTCATCTTGCAAAAACCCAGCATAGGAGAGGTCAATCTTCAAATTTCCACTTGGGCACAGAACTGCCTCCATTGCATACAGCAAAAAAAGATCCCTCCACTTCTTATTGTCCTTCTCCTCTTCCAATACCAGTTTAACGTTCGCCAATGTCGCCTTTCCTTTCCTAGTATTGGAAAGCCCTAACTCAATTCCTCACTTGTGCCTCTGGGCTGCACTGAACATATCCAGCTTAATAGCATACGGTCCACGCGGCAAACCATAGACTCTCTCCACATCTGCCTCTCCAATTCTAAACTTCCCTGACCGAAGCAGCGGGAAAGACCTTGAACTGACATCAAAACTTTTGCAAATCCATTCAGTAAAATTATCCGGGAGTCTCGTAAGCTTAACCCTCGACAAACCCTTAAAACCCAGAGGATCAAGCATCTGCAGTTTTTCTTCAGTTGTACTGTCAGCATCCATGATGGCAAGAATACGATTAGTATTACTGCGATGCCTCTTATCCGGCTTTCCAGGCACAGGAGAAACACCATCTTTCTCTCGCTTATGTGTTGGAACTTTTTCCTTTTGTTTCCCCTTTACTGCACGTTTCTTAGCAGGTGCCATGCCTACAAAGCAACCAAAACACAAACCAACATAAGCAATCTATACCGGAACATATAAAATGCAAACCATCAAGGGCCTAATGCAAACTGTACAACCATGAAAACAATCCATTAATCAAATTTAAAGGAGACAAACAACAACTGCAAATGAACCACCAATATTACCCTGGAAATACACCATAGTTGTATTAAAAACCTACAGAAAGGCCTCAATCAAACCCACAAACAACAACTACAAATGAACCACCAACATCACCCTGGAAATACACCATAATTGTATTAAAACCCTACAGAAAGGCCCCAATCAAACCCACAAACACCCTAAATGTCACCAAACACAAAGCGCACCACCAAAATAAACAACAGAACTACTGAACACCACCACAAACGACTCAATAATCAGATGTAAAGGAGACAAACAACAACTGCAGATGCACACCAGTAAATCTCCTAAACCAAACTGTGAAATCCGAAACACAAACCACAAAACCTTTTAAAAGAACCACCAACAGCAGCCTGGAAATACACAATAGTTTCATTGAAAACCTCCAGAAAGGTCCCAATCGAACCCACAAACATCCTAACTGTCACCAAACACAAAGCACACCACCAAAAATAAGAACAAAACAACAGCACTACTGAACACCACCACAAACGACTCATGAGAAACCAGAAATCCTAAAACATGCAAAGCACACCACAGAAACCCTAAAACATTCAACAAAACCTAACCAGAACACACAAAACCTAACCAGAACGCACAAGTATGAAATTTCCTCGTCTCCTACAACAAATTTAGACGGGATGCGTCAAAACATCGCAGAAAAGTGGAAAACGAAAGTAACAGAGCAAACATGAAAACGATAGTTATAAATTCAATAGCAGCAGCAAGCAACGATAATGCTAACGAAAACGACAACGGCGACGCCAAACTAACACCATACAAGTGGAACTCCGGCGACGCCAAAACGACAACGGCGACTTCGAAGGCCAAAACTGACGACAGAGGAGAAGACAGTTTAGCGGAGGAAATCACCGGCATACCTCGAAATTCACTTCGCCGACGGAGGAAACGGAATCGCGCGAAGGAAATCAACAAACCGCAGATGGAATCGCTCGATGCAGATGGAAAATTAGCGAGAACAGGGAGAGAGCAACCGAAGGAGAAGTCGGAGAGCAGTTCGTGAGCAGAGGGAAAAGCGGAAAACCGAAATGACAGAATCGCGCGCTTCAATGAATTTTTATTATTAATTTCGAATTTCAAATTTTATACCAGGTAAAAGAAAAAACTTTTTAATTAATATTGTGTGCAATTGACCCTTATACCCTTGTTGTTATACTAACAACACTTAAGGTGTTGTTATGCTATCCGGAGCCGCGATGAAATGGTTTGTTTGTTTGTTATGTTTCGATAGAAGAAAAGTATATTTGTATAAAAAAAATAATAGAGGAAGGCAATAAATGCTATTAAGTCTTTCCTTTATCAATGCATTTTTCATTAATTTCCGCATGATAGAAAAGATGTTACTGAAAGACAAGTTTATTCCTAGTAGAAAGAAACTCAAAACAATTAACAGCTAACATCTAAAGAAGCAACATACCATAACTACACATACTACTTATTATTTGCGTTCGAACAAGAGATCAACAATACGATCATTAGGTAAAGAAACGGAATTTCAACTAGTTGATGGAGTAGTGGGTGATGCCGATAGAATCTTCGGGCCTTTGAGGTGGATCGATTACGTCCCTCTTCCTAAGCTGAGTGTACTCTCCGAACTGAAACTTGCGGTACTTTGGCAGCTCTCCTACTTTCTCCGTGAACTCCGGCAATGGCTCCACCCATTTCTCCGCCGGCAAGCAGTAGAAAAATGCAAACGAATAGCGGCTTCTTCCCTTGGGCCTCACCACCCTGTGCATGGAGCTCTTGAACTTGTTGTTGCTCAACACCTTCCACCACATTTAACATTATGACGTCAAAATGAAATATACATATATGTCCCTTTTATACGTGAATTAATTATCATGCTGATCGAGTAGTACAAAACCTGGATCATGTCCCCGATGTTGACGATGATACTGCCCGGCGTAGGAGTGGCCGGGATCCACACTCCGTTTCTTAAGACCTCCAACCCACCGGCATCGTCTTGTAAGATGAAGGTGACGGAGTTGCCATCTTGGTGGGGCGTGAGGCCTCTGTCCTCGTCCTCCGCCGCCGGGAAATACCGACGAACACTCATGAAATCCCCTTTCCTGTCGGAGTTAAACTGCTGGAGGAATCCGGTGGGGAGACCCAAGCAGTCGTTGATTATGCCCTCCATCAACCATCCCGTCTTGCTCAGCCAAACGAACACTTCTTCCATCACTTCCCTATCACATGCACGTAACCATGCATAGTTAAATATAGTGCCGCAGTTACATGCACGTACGTAGGGTTAACAAATTAAATGTTACCTGAGGTGGGGAGGGTTGGTAGGGTAGACGTTGAAGGGGGAGGAAGGGTTGAACATGAGAAGGAACTCGTTCTTCTCGGGGGAATGGAGAGGCCGGCTGTTGTATCCGGACGGCAACGCAGCGCCGCCAGCTGGGTTGCTCGTGAACTTGCGCTTCTCGTCGTCGGGGAGGTCAAAGAAGTCGGCGGAAAGTTGGAGGGCTCGGTCGATGAGTGCGGTGGGGACGCCGTGGTTTACTATCTGGAACAATCCGTACTCCGAGCATGCTTCCTTCACCGCCTCCATCGCCTTCTTCTTCTCGACGGCCATATTCTCGTCTTCGGCGGCGGCGGCGAGGAAAGGGGAGAGATCGACGACGGGGATCCCTGACCCTGATGAGATGCTGCTAGTGATTCCAACCATTTTGACGTTCTTCGCCTGGCCAAGAGATGAAATGAAACAAAAACCAACACACGAGAAAGTGAAGTTTCTGTCACAGTCAGATTGTTGTTTGGAGAGGGGAAGTTATGGAGTTAGGATGCAGGCATGCATGCCATCAAGGTGGCATCCTCCAACTGCAGTTGTGAACATATGTAACTCATGCATATACCAAGGGGATTTATGTGCAGTAGCTGTAGCTTCGGAGTTCGGACAAATAAAAGCAAAATAGACTAATTGAAAAAAAAAATCCAGCATGGTCATTTCCTATGCATCCTGACTCCTTTTACTGTACATACATACCCATAACTACTGGTTCAACTCATATGGGAATCCAGTGTGGGTGGGTGCAGGGAGAATCTGGTTGGTTTCGAATTTGACTTGATGATTCGGTTGTGTTTGGCCCAGAGTTTGCCTTCTGGTTGTGGTCCTTTCAGTCTCCCTCGCGCGTGTTGATCACTCGGCAAACTTTATCACCATGGGGTTACGGAACCGTTCACTCTGTTTGCCCTTTCGAAAATGGGAGAGACATGTCTTTTGATGGGACTGTGAAAAGCTGACAGTGAGACCGTCCAGAGAGAAAAAGTGGAGAGCTTGAGAGACATTGGGGCTAAAAGGGTTCACCAATGGTGACTGGGTACGAATTTTCCAGTCTTTTGCTTGGTAGAATTCAACCCACATCTCCCTTTTATTTTCTGCCCATTCGTGTTACACCTAACCCGGTACAACCCCCTATGTTCGTTGGCCGCTGCTTTAAACTAAAAAGGCCTGAATATATTGAAAAATGAAAAAGGATGAACCCGCAGGCGCATGTATCTCTTCCTCTCTCCTCTCATCTCTGCCATTGCAACAGCAACGTCTCTCAACCTCTATCTCTCTTCCTGTCATTTTTCTTTCTATGTTGGTTTCTCTATCTCTCTTCGGAGGATATTAGCAGGGTTAGAAGTGATCAAAGGAAGGGACTGATTTGGCCGACCAGAGAGGAAACAAAAAGCTCAAGATAGGCCGATTCTATTTTGGTTCCAGATAATTGGTCCTCCTCTTTTGAGGAAATTGTTTTCCTCTGTGTTCTTAAAGGGTTCAGTTTCACTTCTTTCTCAAAAGGTTTGTTTCATCTCTTTTTTGAGGTTTGTTCAAAGACTACAACGTCTTCGTAGAAGAGGACTCGAGCTCTGCATCAGTTTTCATACATCATTAGTTGATCTCCCTTTGGTAAGTCTATTTCATTCAATTCCAGCATTTCAAATGCCTCTTTTTTTCGTTCCAATGACTGATTCGTCCTCTCTTCCATCTTGAAATGTAAACCAGGTTTGCGGAATGTAGAGATCGCGGATTCAGAGAAGAGGTAGAGTCGTGGGTTTATGATGATTTATATGTTTTGTTTGATAACCATTTAGATTCACATGTCGCCGTCAAGTTTACTTTCATTGAGGGGAAAGTCGAAATTTAGAAAAAAAAAGTAGCTGGCGTTGTTGATTAACTAGCTGGGATGAGTGATTTGTTGTTGAATGATTCATCTTTATTTGTTTCATCTTTATTTCACTTTGGTAGCTCTTCGGATTCCTCTGTTTCGGTGTTCTTCCTACAATTTCTCTTAATAGATGGTTGTCGGTGATCTCTCGCTTCGTGCGTATCTAACAAAGGTAGGTATTTATGTTTATCAATCTGGTTCCTTTTTGTTTTTGGATGGGGTGAATTCCCTTCATTGATGCTTTGGAATGTGAAGGTGTTTGCTCTTATAGTGTACGTGAACAACCTTTCTTGGACATTTTTTGTCAGGTTGTATTTCATAGTTTCCAAGTTTTATTGTCATTTGTGAAGATGTACTCTTGACAGGATCTGTTAAAGTTATGTTTCACGTAGATTGTACATCCTAATTAACTTTGTTATTTATATGTAAAATTTAAGTTTACCCTCCATTTTCCCATTAAAATTGTTTACCTATAAAAATTAACTTTGTACCACATCGGTTAAAAACAAGGAATTAAATGGCTTTATAAGACCAACTTAATCATATCAGTTTAAATCTGCCATTCATCTCCAAATTTGGCTAAGTATGGGAGCCACCCCATGACACACAGAGGGGGGTGGTAGACATCATACCACCACCCCCAGAAGGTATCAAGGGGGTGGCCACCATCATACCACCCCCAGGACATAGCAAGGGGGTGAATATCATACCACCACCCCAAGACGTGGCAAGGGGGGTCACCAACGTACACCCCATGGTATGGCCAAGGCAAGGGGCTCATGTGAGCACGTGGTCTCTTTACTCTACTAATGGTGAATTACTTTTTGCCATTTTTAACTCATGTTATTCAAATACCACCCATATGTGGTAAGTGGTATTCCTTTATGCCTAAGCCATTTTTACTCTATGGATAAGCAAAACTACGAAGGAGATGCCAAGAGCAGGTTGAGGTCTCAAGAGGAGGGAGTCAAGACTGAAGAGGATCCCACATCCAACATCAGGGTAACCGTCATAGCAGTTTAGAGGGTAACCGTCACTCCACGTCAGCAGAGCAGTTTTTTGGGGCAGTTACTTCTGGTGGCTATAAATAGGAGGTGAAGATGACAGAGAAAGGGTTCGCAAAAATCACAACTCGACACCACTTGTCAAGTTTTATCTTTTTATCTTTTCCTCTACAGATTTTAACCATATATAAGCGTAGTTTTTGGAGCTCTCACTGAACCTCTATAGGAGTAGGGCTAATTTAATGTAGATTTGCCTCGTAGTTCATCAAAACATTGAACACCCTTGTTTGAACTTTGTTCAAAGAGGTGTGAATTGTGTTGTTTGATCGTTTGTTTGGAAGTCAAATGTGCAAGATCCAATTCTATTCATCTAGATTTTCTCGCCGGAAAACAAATTGGCACACCTGGTGAGACTCGAACCCACAATCGTTTGATTAGAAGTCAAGGGTGCAAAATCCAATTCTGTTCATCTAGATTTTCTCGCCGGGAAAACATAAATTTAATGTGAACTTATAAGAACCATTTAGTAATTTTATTTTATCTTTTTTCTATTCTAAAATTGACATTTTTGTCCGTATTTGATTCGTGCCACCTTATTTATCTTTTTTTTTATCGAGTTCAAATATGAAAACAACTTAAAATTTTCTTATTCTCCATGAAAAGAACACAAGTGACATATGAACCAATGACACAAGATGCTACATTCTTCCTTCGTTTTCCTCTCATTTCGTTAAAGTTTTATGACTTCCTTTTATTATATTTTATATTGTTCGTATTTGATTTTACCTCTTTATTTTTTTCTTTACCGATTTGCTAGATTCGAGAACACCCACAAGGTTAGAGGACGAAGTCGTGATAATAGTACTAATCGAAGAACCAGAGAAATTGGGAATTTTGTATATTCTGTGAGCTGGAGAAGCAATTGGATATTTCAGTGAGCCAGAAAAAGTGTTCTGGAATTTCCCAAGGGTTTCAAAATCTCTCTTTATGCATGGAGGAGGAGCTGTAAATTTGGTGAGTTTCACCATGATTGGTGTGTGGCTTCCAAGTTAACTAACCAAATTAAAAATGTTTTTTCTTGATTCCCAATGAAGTTTAATTGTTCGGCCAACGATGAAAGATGCTGAGAAATTGCAAGGTTGCAAGAAAAAGAGACTCTAACATCAATTTGTAACAGATGCGCTGAAGAAAGGTCAATTTCATCTATGAGTTGAGATAAATAAGATAGTGAACTGGGAAGAAAAAAGTGGTAAATTCAACAAAACGAGAATTTGCATAGAGGAAGGGTAAGATTGAGGAAGGATGGGGAGGAGGAGAAAAAGAAAGAAGAGATAGAGGGATTTAGAAAAGGAGAAATTTTACAATGCTATATAGTATTGGTGCTATTTTTGTTTTTATGGTACAATTTAAAATTGTATATTTACGTTATAGTACAACTTCAGATTGTACCTATACTTTTTGTACAAATTCTTTTATGATACAACTTGAACTTGTACCTTTATGTGATGGTACAACTTCAAGTTGTAAAGTTGTACCATAACATAATGGTACAAATTGTTTTATGGTACAACCTAAACTTATACATTTAATGTTATGGTACAACTTTGAGTTGTACATTAAAGCATCAATACTATATAACATAGTAGAAATGCTCTTAGAAAAGTTATTGTATTATGTTATTCTATAGCCACAATACAATTCTTATCTAACCCACTTTTTTATTCTATTACAACTAATTCCATGATATGGTTGGGATAATTACACATACCGCCTTGTTATTAGTAAAGTAGGACACCGTCGAGAATGGTTCTAGCATATGTCAAGAAAAGAAAGAAATAGGCTTATAAATGATAGCTAACCATAGAAGGGATGTGAACTTTTACACTTGTGGGCTGTGGCTCAAATTTTGATGCCTCAAAGGCCTTTTGCACCTTTTCAATATTAAATTGTAATATAAACTATCTATAAATATGTACTATATGTCCAAATTTACTCTGCAAATCATTTTCAAAAAAAAAAAAAAAAGCAAGACAACAATCACATAGTACAATTTATTTGATTTCAAACTCCTTGGAACATAAGGATTGATGTTTAGTGAACATGGTGTAGGAGTTATTAGTTGATGGAGTAGTGGGTAATGTGGATAACATCTTGAGGGTTTTCTGGGGGATGAGATTTGTTCCTCATCCTCAATTGCATATACTCTCCGTACTGAAACTTGCGGTACTTCGGCAGCTCCCCAAGATGTTCAGTGAACTGCAGCAATGGCTCCACCATTTTCTCCCCCAATAAGTTGTAGAAGAAAGCATACGAGTAGCGGCTCCTTCCTTTTGGCCGAATCACCCTGTGCGTTGCGCTCTTGAACTTGTTGTTGCTCAACACCTAATTACATAATTAATCGATAGAATTCAATGAAAAGTTAAGACATGCATATACGAGAATTTAAAAATAGTTCATCATTTTCTTTAGTCACACCTATATGATACGAAACACAAATTTTTGTTTACTAAGATGAAATATAGAGTATTAATTAGAGTAAGCATTGCATAAAAGTTCTATCGAAAATATGTTGAAAACAAGGAGGGAGAGGTTAAGGAAGAGCCATGCCAATATGTTAGGATATTTGTCTTCATTTATGCAATATATATGTATCTGTGTATGGGTAATGGTAGAGTGTAGGGTGGAAGTTTGGGTTGCGGGTTGTGGATAATCCGCAAACCGCACCAACCCGCACCTATTGTGGGTAACCATACCCACAAGTTGTGGATAGTGGGTTGGGTGTGGGTAGTAAACTAACGATTTTTGTGGTTAGTGGTTATCCACTACCCACCGCGGATAACCCATAAAATCCACAATAATCACACTAATTATATTTATTTAGTGAATTAACTTTATAATATAATAGTATGTGAAAAGTGCGAGGATAAAAATTAAAGTAGCCACCAAATAAGAAAGATACACCTAATCAGTTTTATATAAGAATTTTTTAGTTTATAAACACTATAATCGATAGAGTGGAGAATAATCAATTCATCAAAAGTGAACACCTTTTATAACTTTTATCAGTATGTTTTTTCTTTTGTGCAAAAAAAATACAAGATCGTATTTAATTGTCATATTTCACCCCTAGTCGAGGAAATATGAAATCACAGCTCTCTGACACAAAAGTTGAATACCAAACTCAAAAGAAAAAAATCTCCACGTTGAGTAAGATCGATGTACAAAATTGTAACTCCACGAACAACACAAGTGTATATCACTATAATCTGATCAAAGCCACTGGTGATCAGCCAGCAGATATCATCATTTCATATGAGACCTCGTCAAAGAAGGACTTATTGTGATGAAATTCATCAACAGTGATGATCAGCCAGCATATATCATGACAAAAATAATCACGCGTGAGAAATTCGAGAAGTTGAAGAAGCTACTCCAAATTGCATATTAAGAGGAGTATTGATTGATAATTTGCAATCAAACTACACTTCACGTGGTAGGCCCAAAACATAATGGTGATGATATGCAGAACACATGGACAGCAAATGGATTAGGACACCAAGAGAAGAGTTGAATTATCCCATGCCTATACCTCATTTTCATGACTTTTAGTTATTGTTTTCTTTTGCTTTGTTTGTCTTCAGTTATGTATTATATATATATATATATATATATATATATATATATATATATATATATGTATCTGCGTATGGGGAATGGTAGAGGGAGCCCTTCTACTATGCTATATAGTATTGGTGCTTTAATGTACAACTCAAAGTTGTATCATAACATTAAATGTATAAGTTTAGGTTGTACCATAAAGTAATTTGTACCATTACGTTATGGTACAACTTTACAACTTGAAGTTGTACCATCACATAAAGGTACAAGTTCAAGTTGTACCATAAAAGAATTTGTACAAAAAGTATAGGTACAATCTAAAGTTGTACCATAACATAAATGTACAAATTTAAGTTGTACCATAAAGGCAAAAACCTATAGCACCAATACTATATAGCATTGTAAAATTTCTCATGATAGAGGTAGAGGTTGCGAGTGCGGACTGAGATCAATGAAAAGAAAAGAATAAATAATAAAAATATCATTGTGGTGAGTTTAAAAGCATAAGCCAAATTAGTAAATGAGATTATATTTGTGTTGAGAAAATTCAAAACTAAATGATTAAACTCAGAAATACGCAGTTGCAACTTGCAAGTGGAAATTCACATCAATTCCTAGTTTTTAATTAATAATTATTCGTTTTTTTGTCGCTACTGAATTAGCTATATTATATATACCTGGATAACATCGCCGACGTTGACGACGATAGCACCCGGTTGAGGAGTGGCCGGGATCCAGCTGACTCCGTTTCGACAGACCTCCAACCCTCCGGCCTCATCCTGGAACACGAAGGTGACGCAGTTGCCATCTTGGTGTGGGGCGATCCCGTTGTCCTCTTCCTCCGTCGCCGGAAAATACCTGAGAGCGGTCATGAAATCCCAGTTCCTGTCGGAGTTGTACTCGCTCAGAAACCCTGCCGGAAGCCCCAAGCAGTCGTTGATTATCCCCTCTATCAGCGACCCCGTCTTGCTCAGGCACGAGAAAACCTCCTCCGCGACATCCCCGAGTTCGGAAGGGCGGGTGAGGCTGACGTTGAAGGGGGAGGAAGGAGGGAACATGAGAAGGTACTCGTTCTTGTCCGGAGAGTGGAGTGGCTGCCGGCTGTATCCGGCGGGCAAAGGAGCCCCCGGTGGGGCGCTGAAATTGCGCTTCTCGTCGTCGGGGAAGTCGAAAAATGTGGAGGAAAGTTGGAGGGCTCGGTCCATGAGTGTGGTGGGGACGCCGTGGTTGATGATCTGGAAGAAGCCGTACTCCGAGCATGCTTCCTTCACCGCCTCCATCGCCTTCCTCTTCTTCTTCCCCGTCTCGTCGGCGGCGGTTAAGAAAGGGGAGAGGTCGACGACGGGGATCCCATTCCCAGCTGAAGCTGATGATGATGAGCTGCCGCTACTAGATTGCACCATCTCAACGGGTTAGTAGCTGCCGGCCGGCTAGAGGGTTTCGCGGAAGGTTGTGCGCTGGTTACAAAAAAAAAAAAAATAATGATAGTCTTAGGACGCGGGGTAGCATATGTACAAAATTGGTGCGGCCCGTGACCAAAGCATTTTTTCGATATTCTGGAAGAGCATCTTTATCACTTACCGGCTACCGTATATGTTTGTCGATATTTAATTTAGGGGTAGTTTGCTTCATGGATTTATAAATCGAGGGTTTTGTAATTTAAAACCCCAAGGATTTATCAAGGATTTAAGGCATCATGGATTTGTAACAATCTTTTGTTTGTTGGGATGTTTTTATCATGGATATAAAGATGTGGGATTTACTACTTGAAGTCAAAAATTACATTACTGTCCTTTTCTATATGTTTGACATGTTTATGATATGTACACAAAACAAGGACAAAACTTCAAAATTACCTTACTATCATTTTCTATATGTTTGACATGTTTATGATATGTACACAAAACAAGGACAATACATACTAATAAGCATAATGTTGCCACATGGATAATAATAATAAACGAGAAAATTCCGTTTTAACTTTTAACATAACATAATCAATTACCAATTCTTTGTCCTCCTTTTCAAAAGTAACATATAACAACATATATTAGAATCGGGAGAACAAAGAATTACACATTCCATGAAAAGGTCAAAGAAAACTAGAACACAAGAAATGATATAAAAAATCTAACTCATATTTGCACATTAATTGAACGTTTATATTATTCATTTATTGTTAATTATAATGTATAATAGTTAAATTTGAGGGAACCTTGGAATATTAAAAGTGCATGAGGGTATATGGGTAAAATGTCATCAAGGATTTATGCCATATTCCAAATCCCACATCAACATGTGGGATTTATAAGTCCGTGGGGTCCACGGACTTGGACCCTTAAAATCCGTGGGCCCCACAGATTTGGTCTCCAAAAAAGGTGCAAGCAAACAACAAATTGTACCTAAATCCTTGATAGTTGGTTTTTTGGTACCAAATCCTTAAAGCAAACGACTCCTTAAGCTTTAGCGGAGAGCCAAAGTATTGATAGTATCCATCCATATTTTACATAGAAGAATCTACTTTTATGCTATTACAGACAGCTAGTACAGTCTTGTTAGACTATGTATAATAGAATTCCCTTTCCATTTTACAACTGCATATTTTTTGGACATGGAACTGCATGTTATTGAACTAGCAAACACAACAACCCATAACAATACGACTGTCGGTCAAAAACTAAACCGGGTCACAGCAGACCCACTGCCATGTTCAAGACATAACTGCAGATAAATTAGATTATGGCAAGATTCTATTACACGATATAGTAGAAGATAAAAATGGACATCGTTCTAGTTATCTTCTTGCACAGCTTCACAAACTGGCACCAGAGTATAAGCCAACATATTCGTAACTCATAACCATATCTGGACTGTCAGGGAGGAACCAGGAGAAAAAAAAGAGAGGAAAAAAAGCCTCGTCCAAAGAGTAACAAAACAGGGAGCCTTGTCTGAGAACAAGGTATAAGGTAACTACAGACTCATATCGAAACTGCCTACACGGTAGATAGAGCGGGAGAGATCGATCTATGACGACTACTACTGTAGGAAATTAATAGTTGGTTAACCTCCCTATTGACCAGATACTCGAGCAATCATCCGTTTCAACAGAAACCACCGCCACTTTACACAGAAGGCCCCAAGCCATGCACACCGCCAACTCAAATTTGCATGCTTCCCTTCTACTCATCACCTTCTTCCTCATCTTCCCCATCATCTTCATCCTCATCTTGTTCGTCATCATCTTCTTCAGAGTCATCCCCTTCCTTATCCTGCAACGATAACTAGGAAACATGAGAAATCAGGACAGCAGAGAAGGGGTACACCAATATCACATCAGACAAGGCAAGATTAACACTGGCCAAACAATTAAACAACGGTTATTTGTATCCATGATAACACCATCCAAGACATAAACCAGACATCGGAGATGGCCAAAGATGTGCAGCCAAGAAAAGTCATACTAGTCACGAACTACAACACCAGTATACCAGCGTATATTGCAGGTTTCAAGAGGATATATCCATTTGGTGAATTTCACCAGGACTGGAGGAACAGTGTACAGTCAAGAAAAGTCATGCTAGTCACGAACTACAACACTAGTATACCAGACTAAATTGCAAACAAATCGGCAGGTTTAAAGAGAATATCTCCATTTGGTGCACTTCACCAGGACTGGAGGAACTATGTACACTTGCAAAATATAATAAATGCGGCAAAACTCAAGTACTACAGCAACTACGAATGAGCAATTTGAATGAGATGCCAATAGAAACTAACCCATGTATACTTGAGAATCTAGCCGTGGAAAAAAAATGCAATATTGATCATTAAGTTTCTACCAGAACACCTACACTACATAGGGTAAGGTTTTGAGAAAAAATTTATTGATCATAACTATTTATTTCCAAGAAACATTTTGACTATTTAGAGAGGTGGCTTTTAGCTTAAAAAAAAAAGGAACAGTAGAATAGTGCTTCCAAAACTATAGATTTAAGATAATGCATTTTTATGAGTTATTTCTCCAACTTAAATTCAGGGATCTAAAATTAGAGATAAACAAACACACCCCCCAATCACAACAACAAGATAATATCAAGCAAAGTCAGAATATTTGGACAATCAGCCACCTCAGACAACACCACTAGAATTATTGTGGGGTATTTAAAAAATTTAGTACTTTAATGGTGCCCCCTAAAACACTTAATGTTTTACATAATGAGGGACCTCCGGAGAAGTCCAAACAAGCGTCAGCCACAATAAATACCAATCATGCTGGCAGATGCTTCTCGCTGATGCCCCTCATCAATGGGTATTCTTCACAATGGAGGACGGTGAGATTTGAACCAGGAGTCTACCCAGCCAAAGCCACCGCCTTCATCGTTGTTGCCCCCTTAAAACACTTTTTAAGTCATGTTAAACAAAACGGAAGTGATAAAAATTGTTTTACCCCTTCTTCAGCATCATCCCCCTCAAACTCCTCTTCATCGGCCTCCTGCATTGGAACATTAACAAAGTGAACAATGTGTCACCTCAAGCAGCACTTGTTGAAATAGCAGGAGTAAAAGAATAGAAAATTACATTGTTGAAATAGGAGAGAGGATTAGGCCATAAATCTTCCTTGATGATCTCTGCAATCTGCAAGATCATTAACAACTTGAGCGAAAGAGGCAACAAGTAGAAGGAAAAATATGAAAAACCACAACCCCGTCCAGCAAAAGCAAATGAAACAGATGAACTGTACCTCATCTTGCATATCATCCATCATGTCTTTTGGTTGAGTATTAGAAAACCAGGTAAAGAAACTGCATTCAAAGAATAAATTAGTCATGCACTGACCTTGAAACCCAGATAACAGTGTTCATTTAACAATGTAATAGGGAAGTAGCAGATTTCTTGTTGAACATAATACATAAAGAAACTCTCCTTTATGCTTTCATAAACAACTTAAGAGACAATAACTGTGGCAAATGATGAATATTGCACGGGGATTACAAATGATTCTGTTTAACAGAACATTGAGCACAGAGATCAACCACATTTCTCTCAACTCAAAAGGAATATGACGTCATTTTTCTCACCACTCGGATCATTCTACTTCCAAGGTTAAGGCTCAACTAAACATAGAGAATATGGAAACAAACCTCTCCTCGGCCAAAGGCCTCTTGTTGCCTTTCTTCTCATGACTAACCCCATTAGGCAGGCCCTTCACAAGTCAAATTGACGTCACATCGTTAAAGCAAGAGCAAAGCAGGACCTCAAAATTTCAAAAGATGAAAGCAATAAACTCACCATGCCTTCCTTCCACTTGATTGGGGTAGCAGTAATTTCTGTTGTTCCTTCGTCTAGGAAGGTAAAAGTCTTTGTGAGCTTTGTATCTTCAAAATAAGGATTGGACTCAAAGTTCTGCAGTGAGAAGGTACCACATAAGTAGCTATCGCAAGGGAAACAGTAGCTGTTGAAGAGACTAAAACAGAAGGAGAAAGTAAACTTACAAATGTGATGGAGTAGCCTGATTTTACATCTTTGAAGTCTTCCACTTCCAAAGAAGTCAGATGTTTAAATACCTATCAGGTATAAATAACAGAACAGGTAAAATACAACTGCAGAAGTATCACTTAAAAAGTATCGTATTGAAGTTCAAAATGTCAAATAGATGTGAAACCCAAGTATCCAGATCAAGCGGGATAAGGAATATTGACAACTGGGTATCCAGTTCAATTAGGATAGGGCATCACACCTTTTGATCTTCCTCATTGAGAAGATTCCCAAGTGCAGGATGGCTTAAAAACTGCACATTACCAGGACTGAATCCATTAGCGAGTTCTCAATACATTTTGAGCTAAAATTCATCTATGTGAAGAAGTCTGAAATTTCAAGAAATACTCACAGCTGTCAACCAGAAGTCGGGAATGGACTTGATGATATCATTTCGCTTGTCATAGACTGGCTTGCGAACCTCGTTGTATTTCTGCTCAACTTCCAACACCTTATCACTTGCCTCTTCATTGATCTAGAGAGAGACAACAAGAGAAGATGTGAATTCAAAACCGAAAATTTCCAATTCCGAAACCCTAGAAAATTGACATATGAAACTTCAGTGCATCAGCCAACACTATACCATGGGCAATGCAGGGGAAGCCATTATTATCAACAAGCAGAAAGGGCAATGGCAAACAAGGAACAAAATCAAGCTTAAACCTCAAAATTTAGAATACATCCGGTCTAAGAGAACTCTGGCTTCAAAACCATCAGAAATCATTGCTACCAGCCAGGTCACATATTAAAGTGGCTCCAGTCTTTTGAGATAGATATTTCCATATTAAATTCAAGCAAACAAGCAGGTCTAACTAAATAAACGAACAGCACATAGAAAAAACTGGAACACTGGGTTTGTCTACAAGACAAACCAACGAGCGGAATACACAAATAATGTGCATCATTTCGGAGGTCCAATTTCACAGCTTTGCAAATGTGAGGCAAAACTTATATGAGAATGGCCCTATTTTACAGCCAAAAACAAAATAATTTCTGTTCAGTCAGCAACTTCAATACTTCATAATTCCAAAAATAAACGAAAAGAGAGAAACACGAACGAATCACAAAGCC